AAACTGACAAGATTTTTCAGTGTCTATAGCCGGGTACCCATTCCCACCTGGGTGAAGTGAGGAAAGTTTGTGCAAAGTGCCTTTCTCAAGGACAAAACATTAGGCCCGTTGACAGGATTCGAACCCACAACCTTACGGTTGCGAGTCCGAGAGCTTAACCACTAGGCCATCGACGTCTTATGGACACACATATCTATTTTTTCCAGCTGTACATTATTTACACATTTACACTTACACAATGTGCTAACTGCACAATAGAATAAAGCCTATATTGAAGATATTCCTAATAATCAATGAGTAGTACTTCATTTATTAAATTTCTCCCCTGTCATAAAGTCATATTTGGCTCTGTCCTATCGAAGACGGGCTTTTATTCGGAGGTCTCGTCACTTTAATGACCTATTCCTCAAATCATGGGGATTTTAGTTGATTTTCCCCCATGTTGTGTTCGCAGCTGGTGATAAAAGAAAGACGTTGTTTCGTAAGACAGGGGGACGAGAAGATGGGACAGCTGCCATCTGTCCTAATTTTACTGAGAACGTCCCATTTTAATAAAAATGTGATTATCTACTTAATTTGCAGCGATGTTTTATCATTTATGTTTTGTCATTCGAACTCTTTTGATTGATTATAATATTTTTTAAAATATTTCCTTGAACTGAGTAGTAGCATTGCAAATCATGAAATAAACAGCCACAGCCCCCCTTGAACCTCATTCTGTGCGATTAAAGAATTCTTTTCTTTTCTTTTTTACTTTCCAAAAACTGGCTTCCCAAGAAGCACACAGTACAAGCAGCTGATAAAGCGCGCAAACACTAACAAACTGACAAGATCTTTAGTATATATATTGTCGGGTACCCCCCCCCCCCACTGTCCTGGGTGGAAGTGGTGAAGTGATGAAAATCTGTGTAAAGTGCCTTTCCCTGTTAACCTCATCAAGAACATGCACAAAGGGACAAGTTGCTTTGCATGGCTATACATGATGGCCAACTCACTGACGCTTTGACATCAACACCGGTGTGAGACTGCAATGTCTACTATCACCTTTCCTCTTTATCTTGGCAGTCGACTGACTGATAAAGGAAAACCACCAAATGACACGGAAACGACATACAGTGGACCCCGTGGACACAGTTGGACTATCGTGCTTCTGTCACTAACCCTGGAACAGATGCAAGCAAAGACCACAATTTTAAACAGCCTATCAGAGTCTGTTGGATTGAGAATCCACCCCGGGGGGTTAAGTCATAAGTCCTGAGGATAGACGCACTGCAAAAGGAGCAGGTCACAATAGCAGGACATGCACTAGAAGACGTCGAATCCTTCTGCTACCTTGGGTGTATAATTGACAGAAAGAGAGGAGCAGGCGCTGACATAAAGTCCCGCATCGGAAAGGCACAGACGGCATTTATATCTTTGGGAAGAATTTGGAGGACCAGGGATATCTCACTACGAACAAAGCTGAGGATCTTCAGCTCAAAAGTGAAGCCAGTCTTGTTGCATGGATGTGAGACATGGTACGCATCTCAGACTTGCATAAAGATGATCCAGGTTTTCTTGAACTAGTGTTTAGGGAAGTAGCTGAGGGTCAGATGGACAGACAGGGTCACCAACGAGGAAGTATAAAGAAAGCAGAGCCCTGCAAGAGATGAGGTGGGAAGAATAGTTGGCGATGGACTGGACATACTCTCAGGAAGTCAAGCAGCTGCATAACAAGGAACGTGCTAGGTTGGAACCCACAGGGTAAAAGATCAAGAGGAAGACCACGTGGTACCTGGGGGAGAGTCACGGAAGTGGATGTACAGAAAAGTGGGAAGACATGCAGTAATATCAAGCGACTAGTCCAGAATAGGGAAAGGTGGAAAGTGTAAGTTCGTGGCCTATATCCTGATCCAGGGTGAGGAAGGCAATGATGATATCCTTTCCCTAGGACACAATCCCAGCCGCTTTCGGGTTTCGAACGCACGAACTCACGGTTGCAAGTCCGAGAGCCTAACCACTAGACCACCGAAGCCATATATTCCAGTTGTTGAGTGTGTACCGATTACGGATTACACCAATGGACTTCGATTCTATCACTGTTACTATTCAACGCACAGGGCGAAATAGTTATTAGTTTATAGTAAGTTTATGGCACTTGCAGCACAAAAAGGTCATGAAAGTGTCGAAGATTAGAGGCGTCGTCAAAGAACAGGATCCTGGAGGACTTAGCTGTAGAAAGAAGTCAACATTTAACATCACCATAATAACAAAATCAATTGTATATGTTCCACACACTAACCGATACAATTTAAATAATGTTGGAGGCGGGTTGCTTCTATCTTGCAAGCCAGGATCATCCTGGCGGGCCGTCTCCGTTACTACATTCCAGTAAGAAGTAATTCTTTTTAAAGAAAAGCTGAAAACACTGAGAAAGCAGAGACTGGAAGAAAAGAAGAGTCACGCGTTTAACGAGAGAGAGAGAGAGAGAGAGAGAGAGAGTGTGAGAGAGAGTGAGGGGGAGAGACAGAAGGGGAGGG